CCAAATTAATATTCTTGCAGATTTTGGATCTGAATGGATGGAAAAACACAAGATTCGGGAAAGTACACGTAATTTTATAAATATTACAGGAACATCATTTGTTACAGTCATCAGTTACAATAATACAGAATATATGATTTCCGAAAGTTGTAACTACTCATAGAAACATTGCTACACTGATTCGGTTATTACGCTTTTATAAATACGCAAATTTTAAAAATATGTGTATTCATAACCTTGACCCAAGGTTACAGATAGGACCTGGCGCCCTGCTGACACTGCATTTTATATTCTGTACAGCTCAATGGAGTGAAATTAAGAAGGCTAGAAAGGCAGTCAAAAAAGGCCGATACATATTTCTAACCTAACCCACAGCACGAAAGCAGCAGCAGGACTGACGTAACAGCCGGAACAGCTGTAATGCAGCTTGTCGCCAAGCACGAAAGCAGCAGCAGGACTGACGTAACAGTCGAACAGCTGTAATGCAGCTTGCCGCCAAGCAAGCCGCCTACAGGCCGGGTAATTAGAAGTGACAGTCCTCCGACGCGGAGTAGGAGAAGTATTGGTAGTGGCGGGGAGAGCTCCAGCATGCTGAAAAGTGTGGAGGGGAATGCAGTACAGGCGTTCTCAAAAGGAAATAACTTCTTACTCCATTGTGTTGCATAGTGTTGGCGGTTTAGTCTCGATGATGTTCGCACATCTGATGTTAAGTTTTAAGTCCGGAATGGCAGAATATCATGCACTTTACACTACTGTGCACAATACACTTTTATACACTTATCACTGTTATATACATGAAGAGATGATTTACATATTACACAGGTCTATTCTAAAGGGGCGACACCGGCAATATCCGCATAGATATCATCTCCACATGCCTGTCCATCCTCGTCACCACCAGATGAATCGGAGCTATCATCAGAAGTGTCATCAGTCATCACTATCACCGCCAACATGGAAGACGAACTCCCGTCCTGCGTTCAAAAGGCATTTCCGTGCCATTAATTGTTGCTCAATGCTCAAAGTGGCTAGTGGAGATTTCTTAAGTCTTTCTTTAGGGGGTGTCGAAAAAGGAAGTGGAAGCCCCAGATTCGATATTTTTTGTTGCTCTTATTATTCTTCTGACACTACTTTCTGAATCACCTGTTGCCTTTGCTGCTTCCACTCCTATGTTCTTCAGTGTAATTGCTGGCCCAGCCTCTTTCATATACTTATATACATTACTAACAATTTCTCTTGGTTGTGAATGCAACACTTTTCCACTCAATTTACTTCGTGTAGGTGGCATGTTAAAGGAGATAGAAAAATGTACAAATATAAATGAACAAAAAAGAAAATCAACGAATTAAAATAAACAATAAAATAAAATATTAATACAGTAAATAGAGAATAATACACTCAAATACGACTCCAAGAGTAAAAATTTTTATCTTGACTGTACAAGGAAGAATGCCTTTATCTGAACTTGGGACGTCTGCTCGCAGTGAAAATAAATGAATGACAAATCACAACACCCCTCAACTTTCACGAATGGACCTGCCCATCCACTGCGCAGCTTTTCCTAGACTGTCACTTCTAAATACTCGGACTGTAAATCAGTGAGGGTTTGTGAAGGGGGAAGGAAGCGGGGAACGTAGTAGTAGGTTTTCTGTTTGTTGGGAACTGTGAACATTGAAGTGACTGAACTGCTCATGAGCTATTGAAGTGGCTCGACACAAAGATAAACTGAATGACTGACTGACTGACCGTCAGTTGTAAAATGACTTTGACTTTGCGGCTATTAAATTGCTAAGATCCACTAGTGAACAGGAAAAAGAAAGCAAGCTCTGATTTTCTTCCACATTTTTAAGAACCTCGAGTGTTCATATATACTAAATATAATTACGCAGTATTGCATGAGCCTATTAATCCGAACCCGCATGAAACAGCAAGACTAGATCTTCCTGGAGCATCGGTGGTATAGGAGTAGCTGGTAGGTGTGTTAGCCGATTTTTCCATTAGGTGGAACCATTGGAACTATTAAGATATCGCAGATATATGAAATCCAGCACGAACATTCTGGCTAACATAAAGCACCAACAAGATTACTGTCTTCCGGAATGTGATGTTGTGCCATGAAGTTGGAGGCAGCAGATACTTCATCTGCTTAGCAATCTAGGTACCAATGATACGGAGGAACCTGCTGGTTCCATCTTTAGTGTACGAAACTACATTTTGTCACACCCTAGAAGACAATAACTCTCATAATTATCGACGCGAGAACCGGAGAAACCTGCTGCTTCCATCTTTAGTGTACGAAACTACATTTTGTTACACCCCAGAAGACAATAACTCTCATAATTATCGACGTGAGAACCTTAAATCTTACATAAAGCACTAAGGTCAAACAATACCAGCTTTTGCATCATTATTCGAGCTTGTAACTATTTAAATCGGAGGTTTTCAAAATTTGTGATGTCGTGACCCCATAAAATAACACATTTACGCGACCTCCCTTGACATACGGTGACTGCAGAAATGTCACTTGCTCTGCAACAGTTCTGTACCTACAGTAAGCTACAGAATGTCACTATACACCCACAGGCAAGGAACATTCGCGAAATGTTTCACCAGCTGCTGCTGCTTTTTCCGTAACAAAACAAAACAAACTCCGTGGACTGTAGCCCGCAGGCGAACTATACCGACCGAACGACCGCCGCTTGTCGGAGAAGTTAGTGCCAACTTCTATCTGTAAATGTTGGCTTTTTCCGTAACACCCATATAAAATCTTCCATATAAAATCCACTGCGTGGATGTTTTAATTCGGCTACCGCACTTAGAACCTCTTGGGGCCTCGCAACCCTCAGCTTGTGAAACAACAAAAAACTCCGTAGCTTGAGTCCACAAGCGAACTATATCCATCGAGTGACCGCCGCTTGTCGGCGAAGTTAGTGACAAATTTTGCGGATTAGAGGGTGTCGTGTGGTCAGCGCAATGAATGCCCACGGCCGTTAATTTCGGTTTCTAGACCGAAGTTGCTATTTGCTTGAAATAGCTCCTCAATTATCCTCACGAAGCTGAGTGTACCCCGTTAGAGATTCACTACTTTTCAGAAACTCTGGTAGCGCCGGGAATCGAATCCGGGGCCTCTGGATCTGTAGCCAGGAACTCTGACTACACTATTATTTTTATTGCTAGTGGGGTGGGACTAAGTCCCTTGTACTGCGGCCACTTCTGGCCTATTGCACCAGCCCCAGATGATAGGTGAGGGTGATTGTGGAGCAATTGGTGGAATGAAGATTGGCAGGGGAAACCGAAGTACTCGGAGAAAACCTGCCCCAGCGCCACTTTGTCCACCACAAATCCCACTTGACCAGACCCGGGATCGAACCCGGGCAGCAGCGGTGGGAAGCCAGCGACTAACCGCTTGAGCTATGGTGCGGCACCGACAACTACACTAAATGTTAGTTTCAGTGAAAGAGACTTGACAGTCTTCATTCCTCAGCATGACACTCGTATATTACTGAAGTGTAGTACAACCACTTTCACAATAAAGTAACCAGGCTGATCCCTTAAAACTAAGGGTTATGGATATGATCGCCTTCAAAGTACACTCCTGGCTTTATATATACATATATATTTGATTGCCTTTGCCATGGATACGTTTCTGGAATCTTCTTTTTGTAAAGTTTCGGGAACAAGAACAAACTTGCACGCGTCACCATCCCCTCAGTACGGGATCTTCTTCCTTGCATATGTGGCGACATACGAGTAAAATACAGCAATCCTTCGACATTGGAAGATTCTAAGCATCCTCAGTTTTTCATTTGTATCCAGTTTTGGCATCCACGGTATAAAGTTTTATGTAATCCCCGTCTTTACTTCATGCGGTGGCTTCCGTACAAAAAAAGATCCACCATCGCTGGCAGCAGGGCAATGATGACATTAGAAACTAGTTTTCTATCTTTCACATGACTTGTATGTGACATCTATCATGTGCTGTGCTGGAATATTTTAGCGAAGAAGCAGGAATTATAAATTTTGGTGAGTACTGAGAGCGGCCGTGGTTCTCTTAATGCCCATTTCCCCATAAGGTCCCGGGTCTTCCCAACAGTGGTGTTTTTCACGGACGTAATCCCTGAGACTGGAGAGGAGAGAAAGTGTTGCAACAAAATGCTTTTTGATAAGTTGATGATAGCCATGTAAGTCGTGAAATCCTTCGGTCTTTTAGGGAAACAAAGTTCCATTATCGTGTCCATAAAGACCTACCACTAAATCCTATTCTGAGCCAGACACTGCAGCATAGCAACTGTTTCCGTAAGGTTCACTTTAACACTCTGCTCATATTAATGTCTAGTTGTTCCAACAGAAATAAATAATAGGGCTGCCTATTCTTACAATGTTAACCACTAAACAATTTCCAAACGACGATGGTTCAGGACGAAACTACATGTGGTTACCACCACGCTTCGGCCTTTTTTATTCTATGATCTGTCCTGGTGATCTGTGTATACTTCAGAAGTTGGGCAGACCTCTGAATCGCTCCTTTTGACCTACTAATATTGGAAATCGATTACCAACAACTTTCAGTCGATTGACCAGTCACCACTCATCGACTATGCTTTTATTTATCCATTATCAGAATCTTGATTTATGACTAAAATTTACCTATTACACTTTTAATGTGTATCTGTATTCATTAAAAAACAAACGAGTCATTCTTTTCGTATTGATATTGCTGTTATCTTCCAGTATGTACGAGTATGTAAGCCTACACAGTGCGGTCGCATTTTATGCGAATCTGAAATAGTGCGATATAAAAATATCAATAAAGTCACACTGTATGCGTATAATCTGAAGAAAAAAAACGAATCCCCCTTAAAAAATAGACAAGAATCGCACGTTTCAAAACTTGTCCTGAACGCATCCTCGGATAAAATGCGACCGCACTGTACGTGAGTAAGACGTGAAAATATCTAGATGTTGTGTACAGAATGAAACAACGTGGGCACCTTGAAAAGAAGGTATACACGAATGAGGTATGTGGACCCCTGGTTGTGGGATTAAAGGATTCTATTTGTTCCACTTCGCTCCTCCGTCCTACGTCACAGTCCCTCCACTACGTTCGACTACACTTTTTACAGTTATAATTTCTTTCATTCCTTTTGGCACCTGTTTTAAAGCAAGTACTGAAGCTAAAGAAACAGTCTGGTACCAGACGTTGATCGAACAAGTGAGTTTACCGGTAGGTGCGACGAGTCTGCACATATGCAAACAAACTTTCGTATTGTACACAAGTGTTAAAAAAATATATATTTTTTTAAGTACTGACAGTGACATCTTGGTACTTTATGGGACGGAGGTAGCCGATTTTAAAATTATTTTAAGTAATTAAATTTAAAACTTTCACGCATATAATTTTCATCGAAACTCTCAACTTGCATGAAGTCAATACATGGCCTACTGAACGAACCTGACAGCATCTGACAGGTTAAACATCCGACATATGGACAACATGGAATAACAGTACCTCAGGTATGTCTAGAATGGAGGACTCAGCCTTCTGAGCGTTAAGAAAAATCGAGAAGCATCAAACAGCATCGTCATTTCCCCTTTCTCCGTAAATAACAGCGCCAAAGCTACGGGGCCGATTGCAACCAAACTCGACATAGCAGACCTAACTTCGTCGATCCATCTGGATTTTTTTTTCCGCTTTGCTATACTCTGTACAAGGGTCATTTACACTATCTAAATGAATTACTAGTTACATCTAATAACAGTTCTAATTTTTCATGAAATATTATACGGTTTGAGGTGCTTATTATTACGGTATTACTGTGTGTAAATTCCATTGATTGTAGTTCACTTACGGCCCACTTACTCAGGGGTATATACAGGGTGAATCGTATAGAACCGGCCCGATGAATTTGCTAATAATTCCACAGGTGATGCATATAACCGTTCACAATTACGACAGCCCTTATGCTGCAATGTCAAGGACAATGCCGAAACGTGTCTGCAGTGCGCAGGCGACAGTCATGGAGTACCCTGTCGAACAGCGAGTGTTTCTAATGCCTAATTGAAAACGGTGGACACTTTCAACACCTGCTCTGATCACGGCACACGATCCAAGATAAGATATGTGTAAATTACTTTAGTATCTGTATGGTATATTTTATATTACAGCTCATTTCATCGGGCCGGTTCTATATGAATCACCCTGTATTTTTGTGCGTATCTTGGTAAGTAGGCCTATTCATTTGAGCATAATGGGTGTATATATATACACATATATATATACTGCGAAACAGCACACTCATACACGTAGACTTGTTATGCCATACAGTATCTGTGTAGCGGTCACTTGTTGAGAAAACCACTGGCATAATTACAGTATCTGTGTGGTGTACAATATCGAAACCGTTGTCCAAATTTCTGTGCTCAGGCTGTACTGCAGCTGGCAACGAAATTCATTACATGTATCTAAACATAGGCGTCATGCGTGAAAGAAATGCCGGTTTAAACGCCATCCCCAAGTATGTACTTTAGGTTACTGCCTAATCTGTTGTGAAATAATATAGGCTTCAGTAACTAAACTATGTCCATGGAGTACAGTCATTCTTCGGAAGCTAATAGTCGCTCAGCTGATCAAGAAATTCCCCGTTTTGTATAGGACATGAAGATTCACTGCCATTTTGTATCGGCCTGAGTCCTGGTCTCTCTCAGTAAAGGAAGAACACAGAATAAGGGACCCTGACAACAGGTTGCTAAGGAGCATACTGTACAGGGACCGAAGACGGAGGAAGTAACCGGAAGAAACTGTATAATCAGAAACTTCATAATTTTTGTATAGGAGGAGTTAGGTGGGACATGTAGCACACACAGCAGCTACAAGAAATGCATGCAAAGTATGGCGAAAATCTGAAAGAAAAATGAAACTTTAAAAACTAGGCGTAGATATGACGTTAATTATATTATATTTAAGCATCCCGTTACATTCCACACTTCTATATGTATAATATAAACTCCGTCGTAAATGTAACACTTTATTGGAGTTCTTGTCCCCCTTCTTTCACATTACACGTTTCGGCCGCAACCGGCCATCATCAGGTGTATTTCACTTCACGTAGCTGTCACACTGCACTCAATATTAACATTTAAACTCCAGATTTCATTTGTTCATTGCTGTGTCGTCAATCGGCACCCGATATTCCAGAACTTGCCTTGTCGATTTTTATATTTAAAATCTTTATTAATATTCACGCGTCGATTGGTTTAATTTTTTTGTAATTTCCCAATTTAGTTTTATTATTTTAAAATTTAAATTTTAAATTCAAATCAAAATGACGACCGTGTTTATATTATACATATGAGAAGTATGACGTTAATATCGAAATGTAATTTAAAGAAATGGGGTGGGAGAATGTGCACTGTATTTATTTAGCTCAGGAGAGTGACCAGTGGCGGCCTCTTGTCAACACTCTAATGAACTTTTGGGCTGCATAAAAGGCGAGGAATTTTGAGAGCAGCTGAGAAATGAATATCTTCTCTGTCAAAGCGGCACTATAGATGTCCTCTACACCTGCAGCTGCTTGCGATGACAAAATTTGACAAAACATATCGTCGAAATTTTCACATCAGATGCAATGAAATAATACATATCCGTTTTGGGAGATGCAGTTCTCTCCAAGCTCCTGTCACTTCATCTTTCTTCGGTCCACATATTCTCCTCAGCACTCTGTTCTCAAACACCCTCAGTCTATGTTCCTCCCTTAATGTCAGAGACCAAGTTTCACACCCATAAAGACCTACAAGCAAAATTATAGAGTTTTGTATATTCTAATTTTAATGTTTTTAGACAGCAAACGAGAATACAAAAGGTTCTGGACTGAATGGCAGCAAGCTTTACCCGAATTCAATACAGTACACTGCATTTAAATGAAACTTCAGACATTCGGTAGGACAAATTAAATAGGAGTTCGACCCGTAGCAAGACTTCTACCAACACAGAATGACTCGGGGGTAAATATCCAAGCTCGAATTGAGATGCGATCTTGCAATCATACAATAATGTAAAATAGTGTGCGCGCCTCAGACGGGGAGTGCATTGTGCTGGCTTGTACAGCGTATTACTCCGAACATTCCATTCGCTCTACGGTCACATTCACTTTTACTATTACAACTGTGACTCATTCGATCGATTTATTATTTTTTAATATTACACACATTATTATTCTCCAGGCATCACTTAACCTTCTCATTCTCAGACTTTAAGCAATAATCGAGTCTTTTATTTGCTTTTTGTATGGTAACTAAATATTTCCAGTGCTGAAAAGGCTCAAGAATATCTAGGGATTGAGAACACACGTTTGTTTCCACCTTAATCGACGTATATACAGAGCAGGCGAGAATACTATCTGAACGAGATATTTCGTCTATACAACTGAAAGGGTTAAGACACATTCTGTACTTTCATGTTTATCATAAGGGATGGATGATCTAATGCAAATCTAATGTCTAATATAGTATTCTTCGAATGTAATCTAAATAAGAATAAAGTTAGAGCGGAAGAATGAGAGCAGGTTTTCCGTTTTAAAATTACACTCAAATCAAACGTAACCAAATTATTGATAATAATAGCATTTCCTTCACTCAAAATGTAATAACTGTATTCTGTAACATTATTTTTTGTAATGGGATTTGCTCCATACACGATTAAATACTTATTCTTAGTTTTAAGTTGTCCTGTGCTTAACTAATTAAGCATTACGCCATGAAGGCGTATGGGGGAGTTGATGAATAGACCCGCATTTTCTTGACCTCGGCACTAGCTTGAGGTGACTGGTCAGCTCCACGCTACGGCCGCTTTACTTCAGCGGAAAGAGCCCCAGGTACGCAATGGGTAGAAGGTTGGGTGAACCCCAGAGCCAGTCTGGACGACGTGGAGAAGAGAAAATTCTTGACCCTACCGGGATTCTAATTAATTAATTCGCTTAGTGGGGGTGGAGTCCAACTGGGTCCACTCGGCACGGCGGCCACTGATTGGCCTATTGTAGCCTGCCTCGGGTGATTATGATGATGGAGAATTTGGTGGAATGAAGCTTGGCAGGAGAGACCGAAGTACTCGAAGAAAACCCGCCCCAGCGTCACTTTGTCCACCACAAATCCCACTTGACCAGACCCGGGATCGAACCCGGGCCGCCGCGGTGGAAAGCCAGCGACCAACTGCTTGAGCTATGGCGCGGCCTGCCGGGACTCTTAACTCCGACGTCTAGGTCGTCCAGCCCGTAAACTTAATCTTATATTTTACCTAATTGTTGTTTAGCATTTCCTCCAAACAATATGTAATAATTATAACGGTGTTTCATTCTCTCTGAGTTAGACTGTGTTACGGTGACATTTCTTCCGCACTCGACGCCGCGGGCTTGGTCATCCATTAACGAAACGAGAGTATCTCTTCATTTCGATGTATCGTAGTACTGACAGTGCACGTGAGATGTATTGCTAAGAAGTAACAAATATAGGTCAAATGTCATTCTAGACTTAATGACAGTAGAAAAAGAAGCATACAATATATTCCAGTACCATTCCATTAAATGTACAATCATATTCATACAACACTGTCATTAATCTCAGAATCGTTCTGAGAAAATAACTTTTTTATTACATAATTACCATGATTTTGCAATACATAACGTTAGAAAGATATTCAGGCCATCTGGATAACGGACAACTCATCTCCTGACCTGCCAGAAAACATGTCTTCGCTCAACTTGCTTTCAATACTGTTAAATATTACTCTTGCATTCTGTATAAACGTCGGTCACGGTAGCCGAGCGGTCTGAGGCATGCACGTCTTCGCTCGCTTGGAAACCGGGATCGTGGGTTAGAATCCCGCTCAGGGCATGGATGTTTGTGTGCGTTTTTCTGTGTTTGTGTATAGGTAGAGGCCTTGCTACGAGATGATCACCCGGCCAAGGAGTCCTACCGTATGTGTAAGATCTAGAAAAACCGAAGGGAACGGAGAAGTTCATGGAGGTAGGCCTAGGCCCCATGAGGCTGTAGTGCCAAGGGGGAAAAAAAATCTGTATAAACATGCTACAGCGCTGCTGGAAACTGACTCAAAAGATGCATCAAAATGTGGTCAGCAGGACTACATCGAATATATATTAATGTAGTCTTTGTTCATTGTTTTGTATGGACTGGAAATCTGGTCTTTCCCTCCAGGGGAAAACAGATATATGTATATCTGAAGACAACATGCTGAGGAGAATATTTAGGCCCAAGAAGTACAAAGCAAAAAACAGACAGGAGGAACGTAACGACGAGCTTATAATTTGGCCTGTGCATCTGTAGCGTTTATTAGGCCAGAGCAGGCCAGGTTCCCTTCGTCCGTCAGTACACACGAAACAGTTCGAGAACGGCAAGACGGAATTTCACGAAATCTGGTTTTGGAAAATCTCATGAAAAACCGTAGAGCAACTTCTATTTAACCAGATCAGCGTATCTCGTTAATTATTAATCGGAGAGACAATATCCAAACGAAAGTTGTAGAGATAAATTAAGCACATAATTTATCTCCAACTCACTTTTCCGGATGTATTAAGGTTTTCGAGATAATTATACAAAAGGAGTGGCATGAGAACATTTTCGAACTTTCGTATTAAGTAATCGACAGTGGCCTTCAGAATACACTTCCATTCAAGGGAAAACAATCAAAACGAAGTTGTTATTGAGTTTAGACTGCGTTTAAATCATATTTGTTTTACGCTTCTGATGTAGTGCTCTAATACAGTGTGACTGTGAAGCATATATTAAACAGTTTACACATACAATATATTAATTTATATTTATGCTATGTAATAACAGTAAACATCGAAGTCTTGTTATATTTATAATTCCTTTTGCCGAAAGCGCCTGCTACGTACACATTGTGTCTTCACAATCTTGTTTATGGTTTACATATTTATCACGTGTAGTACTGTTTGTCTTGTCAAACAAGGATGAAAAATGCGCGACATGTGCAGAACGGATGGCGGAAACAAGAAATGCATACACAGTTGTAGTTGGACACCTACGAGTATATGGAAGAGACAACATGAGGGACTCGAGGATTTATTGGAAACTTTTAGAATGTTGTCAGTCAGGTCCCCAATGTTACCAGGATGACCAGGCGCGTTGTCCGAAACAAGAAAGGCCCTGTTGTTCGGATTTTGTTCCTAACAACACTAATCGACGAAAATAGAGAAACCAATTTAAATTGTTACACTATAGACGGAAACCAAGACTACAAATGATACCTCAATGCAACAAGATGCTGAAATATAATAATATGAAGGGAGAGAAAGACGTAATTCAAACGGGCCGTGACACAACTCAGGCTGATAGTCGCTGGCTTCCCACCGCGGCGACCAGGGTTCGAGAACGGTTCAGGTCATATGGGATTTGTGGTGGACAAAGTGACACTAAGGCAAGTTTTCTCCGAGTAATTCGGTTCCCCTGCCAATTTTCATTCCATCAATTGCTCCAAAACTCTAGTTTTTAATAGTAATTTATAATGTGTCCAGTAGATGGCATATACCTTTTGAAATGCTAGATTCAAAATGACGTTATATCGGATGTAAAACGATGAAACTACATGCTATTTTTTTTTATCAAGGCTAATATCAGAACGACGTAAATCGTACAGCACCCATGCAACAGCAATTTACTGCTACAAATGACAGTCGACGAATATAGCGAAATGAACCAAAGGAAAATGAACTTTATTAACCTTCATAATTTCAATGTGTCGACACCTCCACAACTCAAACAAAATTAAACTATTGGCTGCAGTAAGGAATTACGTCTCGCAACGATGTATTGCAGATACTCCTATCAGTTATTGGCAAGCATTCCTATAATTACAGCACATTCCCCCTTTTCTTCATAGCATCTCATTACCTAATGCTAGAATCCTGTAGAATTATAATTCGCCATCAGAGGTTTCTACGGATTTCCTGGAAACCCAAAGCGGAGACCGTGGGCTCCACAGAGCACAACTGCCATTACCGATAATTTTGTGGCCCACTCATCTACCTTAGAATTCCGTTAAAACTGGGTTAGAATGACACAATTTAAATTAATCTAGATAATACTTAAAATTAGTCCCTACCTTACAAAAAATATGCTGTTTATTCTGAAAAGCATACTAAATACATAAATATAAGTACTCTGGAGGCAAAAGGCAGTGTTCTGGAATGTTAAAGCACAAGACATATGCAGCAACCACTGCGCTTTAGAGGACTCATGTCAACGAGTCCCATGAATTACGATTCCTGTTTCTGTGCAACAGTGAAATAAGGTCACTGCTAGAGGAGAACCGTTATATCAACTTAAACATGCACCACACAAATAAAGCCTGTAATTTCTATTTACAAATATGAGGCACGCAACGGTGTTTTGCGGTCAAACAAATGTCCAAGTCATGTTTCTGGGTGCATGATACAAATCACGTGAATAAAATTACCTTCTCTGGTGATAATTTGTAGTTACTGAGTATGACGAGGAAGTTTTCACAGGCCAGTAGTTCACATGCGCCGTTATTTCTTCGGTGCCTGCTGCAGGCTTCATGTCGTATCGTAACGAGCGTGACATAACTCAAAGTCCGAGGTCCTTTTTATCCTAATATAGCTTTTTTTTCTCTTCTTTACAGCCAAAGTCATACTGTCCGAGCCCACACACTGAAAGTACACCAAATATTATTAGCGATCAAATAAGGCGGATGTGACATCAGAGACATGTAGCACGCAAAGAGAGATGGGCAGTCTACGTGTATACAGAATTCTAAGTCAGAAAATCAGAAGGGAAGCGACCATTTGGGTGATCTAGCGTAGATGGAAGGAAACGGTGGAAATGTGGCCGCGCCATAGCTCAAGCGGTTAGTCGCTGCCTTCCCACCGCGGCGGCCCGGGTTTGATCCCGGGTCTGGTCAAGTGGGATTTGTGCTGGACAAAGTGGCGCTGGGGCGGATTTTTCTCCGAGTACTTTGGCTTCCCCTGTCAATCTTCATTTCACCAAATTCTCCATCATCATAATCACCCGGGGCAGGCTACAATAGACCAATCAGTGACCACCGTGCCGAGTGGACCCAATTGGACTCCACCCCCCACTAAGCGAATAAAAAAAACGGTGGAAATGGACATTAAGACGTGGATGTGAGAATGTAAAGTGGATTCATTTGGTTCAGGACAGGGTCGATACTTTAAGTTCTATAAAAGGTGAGGAATTAGTTGGCTAGGTGAGCGACTACTAGCTTCTCTAGAAGGATTCTGCTCCACAGAGTTAATTAGCATACAGCGTGGTTGTAAACTCCGGAACGAATTGTTTCTACTCGATTTATTTTGTGTTGTTTATTTATGAAAATCAATTTCCGCTATTTCGTAATGAGACGCTAAAGCCGGGGACTACAGAGTTAAAGGTACAGTACTGTATGAAACAAATGAATAAAATGCTGAGTAAAAAGGCAAAGGAGCCGGTCACGGTAGCCGAGCGGTCTAAGGCGTGCACTGTCTTCGCTCGCTCGGAAGCCGGGATCGTGGGTTCGAATTCCACTCAGGGCATGGATGTTTGTGTGCGTTTTTCTGTGTTTGTGTACAGGTAGAGGCCTTGCGACGGGCTGATCACCCGCCCAAGGAGTCCTATCGTATGTCTAAAATCTAGAAAAACCGAAGTGAAACGGAGAAGTTCATGGAGGTAGGCCTAGGCCCACTGGGGCTGTAGTGTTAAGGGGGGGGGAAGGTAAAATTATCCCTGCGCTTAATTAATTATGCACTATGCCACGAAGGTGTACAAAGGAGTGGATGTATAGATCCACATTTTCTCGACCTCGGCACTAGCTGGAGGTGAGTGGCCAGCTTCACGCACGTGCCGCTTTACCCCAGGGGAAAGAGCTCCCGGTACCCATTGGCTGGGAGATTGGGTGAACTCCAAAGCCGGTCTAAATGACGTGGAGAAGAGAAAAATTCTTACCCTACTGGGACTTGAACTCCGACCCCTCGGTCGTCCAGCCAGCAGCCAGTCGCTATACAGACTATGCTCCTCTGGAACCGATCATTCAAGGCCCGGCACGAGTTTCATTTGCCGAACGGCCGCATTCGGTACTAGGTATCCGTTGTGTAACAACAGTAGTTTAGTTAGTTTAGTTTCTTGGGGTGGGGTGAGACTGAGTTCACTTGGTACGTAGGCCACTAACTGGCCTATTGTACCATCCCCGGATGATTGATGAGTGTGGAGCAGTCGGTGGAATGAGAATTAGCAGGGGAAACCTAAGTACTTGAAAAAAACCTGCCCAGCGCCACTTTGTCCACCACAAATCCTACACTTAACCTGGACTCGAACCCGGACCGCCGCGGTGGGAAGCCGGGGACTAACCGCCTGAGCTATGGCACGGTCTGTAACAACATTAACACAATATATTGTGATGGCTTACTTAGTTTATTGGTAACGTACCAGTGGTTCGGAAAACCCTCTGTTCCAGCTCAAGTCTTGCCCAAAGGGTGCTGCATTTGAAAGGTAGGGTCTGCACACTACATCAGATGTTTTGTATGGTTCACACATGTCTTAGGCGTTTCTTTATTGCATAAGAGGCGGGCTTTACTAGGGTAAATAAACAGAACGCAGATTTCCGCTCGACATTCCACAACCGATTGTCCATATTTGTATGATTCTGCCTTGACTAAGCCTACATGCATCACACAGGACAGTTCTGAATTTGCAGTTCCATTCCGTAAAAAAAGAAGAAAGCCATGCAGATTGGTTCGACGATGTCGGTTACATATACTGACAGGTGTATGAGTGACTATAGACTTGGATTAGGAGTGGCGAATCGATTCATTGGATATTCATTCACAAGTCATAACTACAATTAGTTCTTACACTTTCAAGAGTACGCGAATTATAACACATAAATAAAGTCTTCTATATCTGCTTGCACTAGTTGTTGCTAGGCAACAGATCTCAACAATGGCTACGCCTCCACAATGTATTTACTGAATTACATACTCCAAACATTATACATTTGTTTTGTGGGGCGCCCTCTCTGACGAGAGAACGTGTCTGTCTTTTGTATATGCTGCTGGCCGTTGCCAGCGCAGTCTTTCTCGGGTCTGAGTCCTTTGGGGCTCGCCACCATATTTTACTTTCTCAGATTTGAGACTTCCCCTTTCGTCGCCTCCTACGACTCGCAGTGTCACGGTGGAGGTATTCGACTCCGCCTCCACAAAAGTCAAATTCACATTTCGACTGTCAGTCAATCAGTCACGTCAGTCAGCCTTGGTTTCGAGCACCATCTTGGGCTCATGACCAGATATTTATTACTGTTTGACAGTTACGTTCTTGTTTTTTGTGGGGCGTCCTCTCTGATGAGAGGACGGGTCTGTCATTTATACATGCTGCTGGTCCTTACCAGCGCAGTCTTTCTCGGGTCCGAGTCCCTTTGGACTCGCGACCATATTTCAAGTCAAAGTCACATTGCGACTGACGGTCAGTAAGTCTTGGTTCCGAGCCTCATATGGGTCCCAAGACCAGATATTTATTACTGTTTTACAGTTATGGTCTTGTTTCTGTGGGGCGCCCTCTCTGACGAGAGGACGGGTCTGTCCCATGGAGCTGTGCCCTTCTTGAAAGGCCATCAGTTACACAGCTACTCAAGAATTTCCCAATATTTTCTGAAACCAAAAGGTTCATTACCGTGATCACAGAAGTCCTCCAACCAACCCTATCCTGAGCCAGACCAATTTAGTCCATTACCGACCTATCACAAGACTCATTTTAATATTATCCTCCCACCTACGTCTTGGTCTTCCTAATGAAATGAATCACTGGACTGAAACAGAAACGTGTCTCTCTGACAATGGGACCCAGATATGTGTGTGCCTCTTTTTATTTACAGGATGGCCTCTGTTATTGTATAGATCCACATTTTCTTGACCTTGGCACTAGCTGGAGGTGAGTGGTCAGCTTCACGCCCCGGCCGCTTTACCACCGGTACCCACTGGATAGGAGGTTGGGTGGACCCCAGAGCCAGTCCAGAAGACATGGAGAAAATTCTTGATCCTACCGGGACACGAAATCTGACCCCTCGGTCATCCAGCCCATAGCCAGTTTCTATACCAACTAAGCTATTCATCCACTACCCCATATGCCTTCATGGTGTAATGCTTAATTAGTTAAGCACAGGGCCAACTTAAACCTTCTACCTTTTATCTCTGTTATTACCTGTGACTTGTCTCTTCTGCAGATTTCTTCCTGTTACAACGAGGCCATGGGACCAGTTCTAAGGACATTTGTGTACACTGTCACACTGACAACAATTTTCTTGATGGTAAGCTGAATGATGACAGTACTGTTACTGTCATATGTGAGTTGCAAAAAAAAAAAAAGGATTTTTATATACAGTAGTAATTCATGATACATTCCACATCAAAAATCTAACTTACGTTGGTAATGAGGACAATGTGTAGCCTTACAACAAAGAACTAAATTCATGAGTGTGCTGGGTTCATTGAGCTAAGCCTTACCTTTCAAAATATTACTTGAACTTAATGCTAAGACAATGGCACCTAATCCATGCATTCTTCCACTGTTAGTACTTTATTAAAAACCCGACACAACCCCAACTAATAAAGGTAAATTAGACCCAAGAAAACATGTCTCATATTAATCCAGGAGATCTATGAATCAAATGCTGGCACAGATAATCCTGATTCATGGTTATTTCTCAAGATAAATACTTTAACACAATGGGGAATTGTCTTAAAATGTAAAAAGAGAGGTAAGGTAAAAAGGCAAAGTTGTCCCTGTAATTAATTAAGAACTATGCCATGAAGATGTACAGGAGAGTGGAGGTATAGCTCAACCATTCTTGACCACTACACTTGATGGTCAGCTTCACGCCCCGGCTGCCTAACATCTGAGGAAAGAGCCCTTGATACTAATTGGATGAGAGGCTCAGTGGGTCCCAGAGCAGGCCAAGATGCTGTAAAGTAGTAAAAAAATCGATTGTCCCTACTGGGAGTCGAACTCTGGCCGTCCAGCCAGTAGTTCATTGCAATATACTCCTTCCACTGATCAGTCAATTTTTCCTTATTCAAGATAGAATTAATTAGTTTACAGATCTCAGAATGTAATATTTCACCTTCCGCTTGAATCAGTTCTGCCGGAATTTTATTATTACCTGGCAATTTATGCCTTTTCAACATTGCAATAGCAACTTCAACCTCAGGTACTAACGGCTCAGATGTATGTATTTCTATCTGCCTAACATCACTGACCCTATGTACATTCAATAACTGAGAGTAGTAGTTCTTCCAGTTCTTCCACCTTTTCAAATTGTGGGAGATCACCATTCTCATCCTTCACAAAGTTACTTCTAGGTTGGTAACCCCTCTTAAAGTCATTTATTCCTCTATACAGGTCTCTAATTTTCTTACTGTTCTTTGCAAGCTCATCAATTTTGTCTCTCAGGTTTTCCCTCTTTTTATTCTGGAAATTCCTACTAATTTCATGTCTTATATTGTTCAGATTATCCCCATTTATTTCACTGGATCCTGTAACCACTGCAATTTGGCTTATTTCCTTTGATCTAATAATTTTGAGCATCCTTCATTCAACCATGGCTTATTCTTCTCAATTCATAATAGCCTAGACTATCATTGGCAGACATTTTTATATTCTCTCTAATAGTTTCCTAAGCTCTCTTAAGCCACCTCTGTGTCTTAAGTTTTCCAAAGCTGCGAACCTATTTGAGATTTCAACATGATACTGCTCCTTACCCTCTACCTCATTTAATTTCTTGAGATTGAACCTCTCCATATGAACTCCGTACGGTGTTTATTTACCCACTGCCAGTCTTTCCTTAAACTTTGCCACCACCAGGTAGTGGTCAGTATCACAAACTGCTGCCCTGAATGACTGAACATTAAGTGTACTTGAATGTCGTCTCCTATCTATCGGAATATGGTCAATTTGATTGTTTATTTTCTCATCAGAAGGTGTCCAAATAAATTTATAAATCACACCAGCGACCTCTTACTATTTGGTATGACATCTTATCACTAACGAATTCTACCCTTTTAACTGTTGATATGATTCTCTTATTTTCATTCCCATTTCCATAGAAAAATGTATATTCACTTACTGATTCAATGCCACCCCTGTCCAATCTGACCTTCTGTATTCCAGCTAAACTTACATTTTGATATTTCTTCTGCAACTGTCCTAAGCGAACCTGCCATATACATCTTACAAACTTCTAACATTCCAAGTACCAAATCTCATATTCATTTTCTTTTGTTTAGGGCCTCTATCCCAAGAATCTGTTCAGGTCTGAGGCTTCTTCAAATATTTCATAACAAGCTTATTTTTTATGGTGAGTTGTTAGCCCCATGCCCAAACCCCAAGCTGGAGGAACGCCCCTTGTCAGCTGTCTGTGACTGATTATTCAATATATTCACAGCTACCCTCCATATTTGGAGGCCATCACCTTCATCCGCAACCTGAGGACATGCCATGCTGTGGTGACAAGGGACCCACTTAACATGGAAACATCTTTATTGTCTTTCAAAATATTTTAGCAGTGTAGACTGAACTGCTTTCGTTTTCTTTAAAACTTCATGCACATACTGGTAGACGCAGAGTGCTTTACCTGCATCTTGGGGAATTTGCATCCTTTGACAGAGGTTAAGGTCAGCATTCATAATTATTTGCTTCATGACTACATGTCTCAAAACATATTTTCAAATTATGTAAGAGTGAACTCCTTCACTTGCATATCATCTTGTTCTTTGGCATCATGTCAGCTTCTTCAAATGCCCTTTTTATCTAAAAGTATGAAATCATCATCAGTCAATTCTTCTGAGTGTGAAATGGGCAGTTCCTGAACAGTGATATTTTCTAGTCCATCAAATCCAAATTCTCTTCCAATATTTGTTACTTCTTCTGTAGCAGTTTCTTCTTTGAAATCACTACTATTTTCACAATGAGGAAAGTTGTGCTTCCACACTCCATGAATGTTATTTGCAGTTATTTGCTGCCAAGCATGGTGAATATTTTCTATCGCATGTTTGATGTTACAATATATCCAGAACTCTGTTAAGGGCACTTCTTAAAAGGATTAAAACAAATCACGAAAAGTAATGTATATTGTGGCAGGCAGCAGCAAAAGTGCAGATTGAAGTAGCTTCATGTAAAACCCTAATGGTAACCCTAACTGCACATGTGCTAGCCTCGCATTAACTGAATTTTGGTTTGCACGAAACATAACCTCGTATCATTGTACAATTCACATGAAATCGAATACTGCATTATTAGAATTCGTATTAATTGTGACCTAGCTATAATATGGGTGATAAGCATAAATTTTAAGGATCCTCACTATGTAATTTGTCCATTTATGCTACTTCATTTTTCTTTAAGTCCAATTATTTTCTGCACCACTTTGTTCTCTATTACATCTTCTCTCAGAGTGAGGGACCGAATTTATACGCTGCAGGATTCAAGGTTCGCACAACGGGAGTTCTGGGTATAACACTGTGTGATTGGTTGAAAGGCAATCAACACTCTGGAGCAAAGTCTTGCTTGTTGCCTGCTTGATACCATTTTCTTGTTTGGTTTAGTCTTCAACCCTGAAAATGGAGGCATCATGTTTTCCCAAAAGTCAGTTGACTTTTAATGGATTACACAGTGATATATCCCAGAAGACATAACCCTTCAAGCTGTACTCTAATATATGAAAAAAGGAAAATTAAGCTTTACAAATACACAGTTCAGTCTTCTTTTTAGGGAGGTAATATGAAGATAAAATATGCTAATTTGAATCATGGGTACCACCAAGAATCTCTTTCCAGGGGCAGCCAGGAGACAACCTGAAAATTTGCTTCCAAACTTACATTTAAGCCATTTAAAACCATTTTTACTAAAAAGATTTTAATTTTTATGATTTCTGTTGAGGATACTGGTGGCACACGACTTTTTAGACCCCTCCCCTTTCTCAAGGTTATAATCTGAATGGAAACTAGCATTTTGAAAATTAATTAAAAACAAATACTCTGATCTGATAAGAACATTCTCTGGTACTAAAACCAATCATAATCATATTTCTCTCTTTCCATAAAGGGTGTGTGTGATGCTCGGAGGAGAAAGCACAGTAAACAGAAGCAGATACAATCACGTGAAACTAACATTTTCAATTTTGTTCGACTGCTGGTGCTTCGACTGGTCTATGGTATTGCCACTTCAATGGGATTTGGCGAGAGCATCTCAGAGTTCTTAGGTGGAATATTTGTCCCTCCAGGAGTTGAAGATGATGATGATGAGCTAGATCTTGATTATTAAAGTGGAATAAATGTGCAGGAGAAATGTACACACATTTTTGCATGCATTCAAAAGATCAAATGAACTTCAAACATTGTGCCACAACATTTGAAAACCCTGAAAAACATTACATGGGGACAAAAAATGTGATAATATTACTAAGAATAATCTTCTTACAAGTTTTTGTACTTGTAAGTGCGTGAGATATTAAAAACAGACTACACAGTCTGTTTACCAGAAAAAGAAGACAAAAGATGAACAGCACAGACCAGTGCCGGGCAGGATGGGATACTAAAGTTTAAAAAAATATATTCTAAATTTAAAAGGTTTAAGAAGACTTTGGTACTTGATGGGTATCTTCTGAAGAACTAATTCATTAATTTAAATTCTTCTGTCAACTTCAGAAACTGTAAGCTGCATAAGGAATAATATAATGAATGCTTCAATTCACTAAATAACAGTTAAATTTTAATTAAATCGAAATATGATGGAACATCAGTGCAGTAGGTACCACTGTAACACTTCAGTTGTCTTGAACAGTTCACATATGTGCACTCTATACCAAGATTATACTCACAGAATCATTTTGGTTCTATGTCAACATCCAACCTCTGAACTCTTGATTTTCATTGGGCACCCATATGCAGTAATGGGAACAGGATTATGAGCATTCTACAAGTGCATATTCTCACAAGCCTCATGATATTCCAGACTTATCACTGGAAAACACTATCAGTATTGTGATGAGGTTATGGGTTGAACAACTGTGGTCTGATCTGAAGCAGAGGCCACAATTTTTCTTCTGCCACTGCATCCAGAAGGGATCTAAGGACTACCTAGCCTCCTCTATCTAATGGATAAGAGAGGCTCTTTCCCCAGAGGTACAGTGGCTGTGGCATGATGACAACCACTCCCATCCAGTGCCAAACTTAAGAATGCATACGGCTGTAACTCCACTGCCCTGTATGACTTCATGATAGGGTGCTTAATTAAGGAAAAAGACTTCACCTTTATCTTTTGTGTTTCAAGTATATGCAGAAATAAAAACAAAAGTAAAATATTAATTCACACTCTAGTGAAGTACCTCTTTACATAAACATAAGCATTCAATATATGGACATTATAAACTCAGCAAGAACTGAAATGTCAAGTTTACTGAATAACGTTGTACTTGTAAACCAAACATGGCATTTAACATAAATATAAAAAAAAAATATTCATTTTAGAAGGAAGAAGTGAAAAACTATTCATCTTTTCACACAGTTACAGAAGACAAAGTGGAGAATGAAATATCTGTAACTTATAAAGATGTTTTTAACAGTGTGAAATTAATCTAACCTTACAGAAACTTTGCACGTTTTCCATAGTGTAAGGGTTATATTCCTTGTAACAGGTGTGATATACACTTACAAAGTCAATGGAAAACAGGGGCCTAGTGGGATGTGATCTGCAAGCTTATATGGAACACTTTAGGAAGAAAAAATAAAAGCACTTTAGTTCACAAGAAAGACTGAAGTTTTTGGTGCCAAGCAGTAACCACTGAAAGCACATGAATATCAGATCAATATCATGGAACTAGTTGGTAAGGGGAGTAGAAAGGAGAAGTTCTCTAACAAGCACAGTTGAACAGACCAACACTAAATGTCAGTGGAGCTCCAAACGCTGTGTTGTCAGTCCTACAGCAAGAAACAGGAAATCAATGGTATATAATTCAAGACTAGTTTTTAGAGGGCTCACATATAACTTGTTTTTCATAATAATCACTGGTAAGGAGACGTCAAGTATATGAAAACTGAGGTTTCCAAAGCAATAAACATTCATACGGTAGTTGTGTGAATTATGACATCATGTAGTCTGATACATGCAAACCAATATTTTGCAGGCAAAAAGTGACTCCTGAAGATGGAAGCAGTATATATCTCTGAAATGTTGGTACCAACCTCACAGACTACATGGTCATATAGCCCACAAGACTACAGCATGAAAGAGAAAACCAAATTTTTTCATGTGCTAAGTGTTTTTGCATTGTGAATCTGTTTGTGTACCTATGATTTTTCATCATTTATTATTTTTATTAAATTTATTTATTTTATTGTAAACTGTATGATGATATTTATACACATAGCATAATAGATAGTGCATCTAGGAAGCAAGTTCCTGTCTTTCATCTTTGACTGGCTATCTTTACTTTTTTGTTTTTTTTTAGTCCTGCCAGAAAAAATAATGCCAGGATAGCACCTCAAACTAGGCTATAATTCCTTCCTTTCACATTCTTTGCAATTCATTATTCATTAAACACCCATCATTTGATGCTGTATATTCAGGGCTGACAATGCCATTACATAAACCACAAATAAATGAGTAAATGCAATTAACTAATTAAAATTATTTGTAACGACATAATAAATACATAGTAATTAACCTTTTTGTTCAATTATTGTGCTTTTGGGCATTATCCATCATCCTGTTTTTATATGAAATAACAACATTTTGGAGACTGGATTCTGTCTCCATCTTCAGGTGGAACCTACTCAGTTAGGTCCAATTTATAGAACTAGTCCCTGTCTCCAGATACCAGCACCAACACAAGATAATATATATAAACCAAGCACAGCATACATCATGTGGGACCCTCAACGTCTCACAACCATATGGGCCTTCATGGCCTGGTACAGGGATAGCTTTACTTTACTTTTACAGCATAAATCATTTGTAAGAGTTAAGATAGACATTAAAAACATTAAAATCTCCACACACACACACACACACACACACACATGAGGCCTAGCACCAATGTCCATGTTCTACTTCATGGCCCTATCTTCTGGTTCCATTGTTTGATTTTCAGGCATCATGTGACATTGCTCTCGCCTTAAGGTTTCTCAGTAGTCTGAGAGGCTGTAGTGCTGGTATTACTGATGGGAAGGATTCATGAAGCATGCTGCTGAGATCGGCACAGGTGCCATGATAAACATACCAAGTTTCATAATGATTGGTTCAGGTACTCAAAAGTTATTAGGTGAGGGCAAAGACACACACAGCAAGGTGATATCATAAGCCTACTTTCATTTTTCAAAGTAAAAAAAGTAAAGCTATCCTTGTACCAGGCCGTGAAGGCCCATAGGGTTGTGAGACATTGAGGGTCCCACACTATCTAGACAATCGGCTCAAAGATGGCGGTAAGGTTGTCAGGCCTACATGCTGGCCATGCTTTACTCCCCAGGAAAATTATTTAATTAATTCCTGGTACTCATTTCTGTTTTTGGGAAAAGTGGAATAAAAAATGGAGAGATTCAATGTATAGCAACTGCCACTTCTTATAATTAAATTTGTTCTTATGTGTGTATAAACAGAATATATTGGGTCAGAATAATAAACTTTATGGCTTTAGAGGTTAGAGCCCCTTTGTATATAAAAGAATACACTGCATAATATATTGCATTTCCTTCAGTCAGAGCCTCCATGAGAATCAGTACCAGTTGATGTAAGATCACTGTAACAACCCTTCTTCTTACGAACCAAGTCTCCCCAGAGAATATGCATACCACAAGCTGGACAATGGCCTTCTACTGGTATAATAAAATTACCTTTGAGGAATCTTTTTGCAAGGCAAATGACATGTGCTACTAGTAAACAGCTTGGAGCAAGACAGGAGATTTTCTCAGATGGATGGACCACTTCATAACAGAGGGAGCAAACACACACTGGGTCATCGTCTTGAACAGATGTCTGTGAAGTTGCGCCTTGTGTGTGATCTATTTTCTTACTCACAACAGGACCATATGCTATGGGCATATGAAGTGGTGGGCAGAGATCCGTCTGCAACAAAATTGGGCCCTGTCAAGCATGAAGCTCATCAAAATAATATTTAAAAACAACAGTTTCTTCCTTAAGAAATCTCTTACAAATACAGCGCAACGTTGAACTTTGAACACAACCCATTCTAAGAGGTGGCTCAACTTTTGAGTTAAATTTCCCCATTTGAAATAATGTAAAATGAATGAATCCATTCCAGATGGAATGACATGTGCTACTAGTAAACAGCTTGGAGCAAGACAGGAGATTTTCTCAGATGGATGGACCACTTCATAACAGAGGGAGCAAACACACACTGGGTCATCGTCTTGAACAGATGTCTGTGAAGTTGCGCCTTGTGTGTGATCTATTTTCTTACTCACAACAGGACCATATGCTATGGGCATATGAAGTGGTGGGCAGAGATCCGTCTGCAACAAAATTGGGCCCTGTCAAGCATGAAGCTCATCAAAATAATATTTAAAAACAACAGTTTCTTCCTTAAGAAATCTCTTACAAATACAGCGCAACGTTGAACTTTGAACACAACCCATTCTAAGAGGTGGCTCAACTTTTGAGTTAAATTTCCCCATTTGAAATAATGTAAAATGAATGAATCCATTCCAGACCCCCAAAATTTACTCAATATAAAACATTTCAGGTGCCTATTTCAAAAGATCATATTAGTAAATAATGATAAAACAAGTATGTTTAATTTCGATAACTGAATGTTTTTATCCATTTATTTTCTTCCTCTGCTGACGATCTTTTACTGGTAATGGTTTTTACCCCTCTCGCCACATTAGCCACTTAAATGGCTTCCTTGTTCTTCAGTTTGGTCAATACAGTGGACTTAGCCATGCCATACTGTGCAGCCAGGTCCAACAAATGTGTAAACTTTCCCACTTAGTGATAAGTTTTTTTCCCATTTCTATCATAGAAATAACGATTTTTCTCTAAGGTCTTTCACCTATAGTAACATTCTTTGGTGTCATTATGAATGGGTATTATTAAAGAAAATATAAAAATAAGGTAAAAAAGTAAAGTTGTCCCTGTGCTTAACTAATTATGCACTACGCCATGAAGGCGTATGAGGGATGGATGTATAGATCCACATTTTCTTGACCTTGCACTAGCTGGACATGAGTGGTCAGCTTCACGCCCCTGCCACTTTACCTCCAGGGAGAGAGCCCACGGTACCCATTGGATAGGAGGCTGCGTGAGCCCCAGAGCTGGTCTGGATTATATGAAGAGAAAATCCTGACCCTGCCAGGACTCTTAACTCGGACCCCTCGGTCGTCCAGCCCATAGGCAGTCGCTATACCAACTATGCTACCCTTGCTTAAAAAAAAAAAATTAATTAAAAAAAAAATAAAGCGCTCAAAAACAGACTGAATTTGCTAGCCACTCACTGAATCAGTCATGGGTTTACTGACCGAGTTGACTGAGCCACTGTGCATGTGACCAAGCAGAGAGAAAGAGAGAGAGAGAGAGAGCAGTGACCACGCGACTGCACGTGACAATCACATGATTCTGTGTTGACTTTTTCTTTAAGTTTTAAAACCGAATTTTCTTCGAACTTTTTATTTGAGATTCAAGTTGTGCACACATCAAGACATTCAAAGTTCGAGGGTCCACTGTATAATGAAGTTTAAGAAAATAATAATTGCCAGTGCTCAGAATTAAATTAAACTAATAAATATAATCTGTGAGAAAACGTTGAGGTACTTGCAATGCTTGTAAAGCAGATGTTACATCAGTTACTACCTGGCTTGAGGAATGTGCTTGCCCACTCACCATGTGGAGTACTTCTGGACCCCACATTTGCATGAAGCACATTGCAAGATTATAGGAAAGAGGATTTTCCTAAGTAGCTAGTTGATTTCAGCTCAATTCTCGAGCCCTGGTTACCACTGTGCCATACAGAGTTAAACAAGTAAAACTTGCCATCAGAGGGGTAATTTTTGGAACCTTTCAATCTTTAATACTATTCATATGAATATAAAATATGTCATCATATAAATTTAACATATCATGTTATGATTTATAACACATTTCCCACAGTTGCCGCGGTATTTTTCCAATTTTTCTGGGAAAGTGCCCCATTTATGGCCATACGTAAATCAGGCTTTACTGTGGATCCACATGCCTGAAAATCAGAGCTGCCTAATAAGTTTTGGTTGAAGACTTCAGTACTGAATTTCAATTAAATCTGTCAAAACAATTTATAAGGAAACATGGGAAAGTCCATTTATGGTCTTATGTACAATAGGCTTTATTACCAATCAAAACAACTGAAAGTCAGAACTGCCCAACGTCTTTTAATGAAAATCTACCATGAAAATCTGCTTTCATACCAGGTCAAAGACAGACACATGATCTACAAATAAAGAGTTTTTACTTTGTAAAGAATGCCTAAAAATAATACATATTTTGGCATAGTTCCTCAAAGCAAATCTGCTTCCAGATCTGGATTTGCTTGAATTTGAAATAAATTGATTTGATTTTAAAGAAACCATCATTGCTTGGCAACGGCTGTGAAACACACAACAATATCAGAGCCATCGCTAAGCAATGTACGCACACAACAAAGGAGTAATTGCGGGAAGCAGTGTTTTCTATGCAGATCGTCAAGACTGACTTGTTATTTCTGCTTGGAAACGAGTCAAAAACTGACAGCTGAAAGTCTGAGGTTGGCATTTGGAAGTCAGTCCCACCTGAAGCCAGTGGTCTGAGTATGAGGTTGGTGTGAGATGGTCACCACCTTGTGAGAGCATGGACACAGAAGCAGAGGAACATTCTGTAGAAGTGTTCAATAAATCCATTTATTAATGAAAAACCCATCTACAGTAACCTAGAAGTAAAAGTAAAGCTATCCCTGTAACAGGCTGTGAAGGTCCATAGGGTTGCGAGATGTTGAAGGTCCACATTATCTAGACCATCTGCTCATAGATGGCGGTAAGGTTGTCAGCCTTACGCGCCGGCCGCACTTTACTCTCCTGGAAAATTATTTAATTAATTTCTGGTACTCATTTCTGTTAGAGGCTGAGTTGACCCCAGGGCCACAGTGCAGCTGGAAGGATTACATCAATTGAAAAAAGTCCAATGACCTCATTGGGACTTGAATCCGTGACCTTCCGGCTTGTAGCATAGTGCCTCAACCAACTATGCTACCACGTGCCCCAACACGTGGAAATATAAACAAATATATTTCCCGTACAATGACATAATCAAACTGAAAAGATTTGGAGGACATGAGCTTAGCCTGTTTCAGTTAACTATCACAGCATTCACTTTGACAGATGGAGAAAAACAAGAAACTCTGGTAAGAATAATCAATGTTTCAGTTGAGATTCAAAATGGACACTTCCCAAATACAAGTCAGAATTGTTATATGCTGAGCCAGCTTGCTTGGTTTACTTCCTTCTCACATGTTTACTTTACTAACAGTTAAATGACTCATTGCAGTCAAATCATTGACAGACAGTTGCTTCAGATTTTCTCATCCCATTGAGAACCCTAGCACAGATGGTATGTCATGTCCAACATATCTGTCATCCTTTGCTTGAAGAATGAAGACTAAAGACTAAAGTAGCAGAAATATATCTATGAGAGATTATGGATTACACTGTTTTCTCTTTTTGGATAATAAACTTGTCAACTATTACAAAAAGAAAGTGGCCATGTCAGATTCTTGGAAGGAAACTATTAGCCCTTTATCATGAAGGAACACATATTAAACACCTACCAGAAATTATTGATCAGTACATCGGTAAGGAGGAATTCTTTTTACTAGAAAACAGTTCATAGCACTGTCATATGGTCACGGTTATCACGCTGACTCTAGGCCTACTAATACCCCATATTTTAAATGAAAGACAACAAAACACATGAAAAGATACAACGTATCTGTAAAGGAACATTCACTAACTGTGCATATGAAGACAGCTAATTTCAGAACTTTGCACATAGGGACATGGATTCATTCTTAACAATCTGGATTTTGTTTTGCTTTTAAGCTTAAATATATAGCAAATACAATTTATTTTATACCACTCAGCAGTTTAAAACTAATGTTTTCATTCAGGTCAAGTACTGAAACAGAAATTTAAAAACCAGTACATGAAAGATTAAGTAAGGGATAACAGTGTTAGTATTGAAAAATGCAAAACCCATCTAACTGAATTACATGCGTGTCTGTTGCAATAATGCAACTCATGGTGAATAAAGATTAATTCATGCCGTGGAGATGAAAAAGATGTGGAATACATACAAAGAATGAACTTACAGGAAATTCTCGAGCAAATTCTTGTTTCAACCACTGAACTGTTAAAGCTAGTCGGTTCCATGGCCCCACCTGTAGCATCTCTGACAAGATGCGCAAGCAGAAATCATACATTTTTTCACGAGGCTTCTTCTTTGTGATATGTCTCAAACGGCGGGATCGTTGAGGATGCTGCCAGGCCCATTCAAACTATGTAAACATGTTATATGAAGATTATATGATAAACCAGCAAAAATTACTCAATTACTTCCATGCTTATCACAAACAGACACAAATGCAACTGCCTCATACAGGGTTTTCCCTGAACAGTTAGTAGTCAGGTATTTAAGATACTTTCTGTTGTTAGAGAAACTGAACAATTACTACCATTATTTCAAAATCCCACCACTGGACCCTGTCTTTTGCCAGTTCCATCCAGTTCACAACCTCACAACCTATTAGCATAATGTGTATTTTAAAAATACGCTCCCATCTATCCCTTGATTTTCCATGAGGTCTCTCATCCAGAAGTTTGCAGGTATGTTCTACGTCTAGCTCATCCAAACCTCACCGATTCTTAAACTGTTACTTTGGGTATAAAAGGTTTGTAAGAAGACAGTGATTTGAATTAACAAGAGCAAAATTTCACAAGCAGTTTCAGTCTATCTAATATTAAACATAAAATACAAAAAACCGAAAAGCAACATAAGTCATGGTTATCAAACTGCTAATTTCTGGTAAAGAAAAGTTACTACAGTAACAGTACAGGTTATGACACTTATTAACTAAATTTAGGTTTCTTATACAATCTCTAAAATGACAGTTTTCACAACGACTGCAACAAAATGATTCTGTGAGATTACGTTATAATTCTACTGTGGAATATTTAAAAAAACATTCAAAACATGTTACATACGCTTACCCTTAATGCGGATATATCATTGGGGAAGCCATGGATAATCAAGACCATTTCCCTTCAGGAAAGAAATAAACAACATCAGCATTAAAGTTCATTAAATAAATACGGTAAAATACATTCACTTATCTATAATATATACAGCATATTTCACAAGAAATAAGAACTAACCACGGTCCTCTATTACTTGTTCGCCAAGCTCCACCAGCATGCTTTCCTTTATTATGTTGCTTAATTCTTCTGTTTGGATCTACTGTGTAGCCAATATACGTCCTTCCTTCATATTTCGGATTTGTGCAATATAACAAATATACACCATAAAATCGCTCAATAACATATGCATCAATATTCATATCAAGCGCCAAACACCAAAAATCACACTTCTCATCGGTTCCCGTGAAACTGCGCAAACAGCTGTCCGTGATGTAGGTATGGTGCAAACAATAGTCAAAGTGGTCAAAGTCGTGAAGGTCGTGAACGAAGGTCGGGGAGGAGTAAGAGCAGGAAGAGTGTTTAACCTCAAATCATTTGCGTAAACTAAAATGGCAGAATCAGACGTTCCAGGGGGTAGCAGTTATTCAGATTCTACTTCATGCAAAATGTCAGTACATTTGTAATGGTAGTTAGTACACTGTCTTTTACTTGCTGTATTTTGTAATACAAAATTAATTTTGAAGTTATACGAAGTGCTTTAACCCTTTATAGGGCAATGGTAACTACCGCTAGCTTTAATTTTAAATCAGGCAACATTTAAGCCTAATTGTTTATTTCGTAGGCTCATTTGGTTTTCAGAGTGAACTGTACCGTAATTGTTCCTAAACATTACCTCAAACTTTTGAAATACAGATGTAGTGTGTTTTCGTGGGATTTTAATATATTAATTAATACAGTGTCATTTAGCCTTCTCTGGATCATCCAACGTGACTGATAATGCATAAATGACTAAACAAGTGTCAAGTCATGAATCCCATGGTAACACCATGTGTATATTCATTCCATACAGTAAACAGCTTCAGTCCATGGGCTTTGATCTTGGTTTTGCTTACTTGTACTAGCCCTAACATAGATCATTCTAATGAATGGAACAGGTCACAACAATAAATGTCTGTGTTCATTTCAAGATACTATTCTATAATTTGCCCATTGTGACCACAGAAAGACAGAAAGGTGCATATGATCAGAATGATTAGCAACCCAGCAGAGAAATCAACCAGGTACCCCAACATACAAATTAGGCATGTAACTCCTGATCAGAATCATTCATTTTTTATTTTATTTTGTAGGTAAAAATACACTGATATATGACATGTTCATCTGTATTATCAAAATATATTAATGATTATGGTATAAACTTATTAGAAATATAGCCTTTCTATACATTGACTTGTCATTGGCCAATATTAGAGAATTCTTCATTGAGATAATATGTTGAATTATACCATCTTGTAATAAGCAAGTTCTTCAGTTCCTTCTTAAACTGGTCGTTGTTGTTACCTATTTGTCTAATGTTGTTAGGCAATTTGTTATAGAAGTTACAACCTGGTACTGATGGTTTACTGTTATTAAATATTTGTCTAGTTAGTGTCTTTGCACTCTGTCCCCATACATTGATTCCATATGCCAAAAGGGGATAAATCAAACTATAATACAGCATTCTTCTTACATTCATATCAAGTATTTTAGATAGTCTTATTAATTATATGCAAGTTAACAGCTAATTCTACTACAGGTTCTTTCAATTTGCCTGTCTCATTATATTCTCCATGGGGAAATTTGGAATAGTGTAGACTTGTAGATGCAGTGTAGAGTAGTTGAGGAAGACATAGGTCATGATCCTTCTTGTGTGATGTATTTGGTGAAAAATAATATGTTGCTTTGTACAGAGGTTTCAGTAGATAAGTCAGGGGTGATTGTTTCTCGGTAAGATTGCTTCTCTTTCCATTATACCAACCAGACAGTAAATTATTAAGGTACTTCATATGTCCTCATAATTTTTAATTGTAACTGTACATTGTACTCATGGTATTTTCAGCTTTAGTACACATATTATGAATAACCATTTCAGACATGGTAATAACAAATAAATTTGTAGAATTTTTTATTGTACATTTTGAGACAGATTATGCTACTTCTCCTTGGAAAAATCACTGTTGTAACTAGACCATGAATGAATTAGAGAAGGCTAGGAAGTACTGTTTTTGACGAAGTTTTGCAAATCCAAAGTAACTTAATTAATTGTAAATTATATCAAAAGAGATTAAAGATCAAACCTCTCTTATGTGCTCCATTTCAGATGTTTAAAGACAAAGGGCATATATATTTGTCCACGATGCAACATTTTGTATTGTTCACTGCCTTGCTACCAGTCAGAACTTCATGTTAACTGTTCTGAGGCATTTTATCGAGACTGTGTGATTGAAGAGGTGAAATCTCGAGAAACAGATTCTCATTCTGGAAGAAAGATGAATGAAATTTTGCAGAGATTACAAGAAAATGAAGATAATAGTGATATTGGTAAGTGTGTACTTTTGGTAATTGTTTTAGTTGGATAACTTAAAATGGTGATTGAGGGTTTTTGGTCTTCTTTTGTGAAAAGAAACAGACTTGAGTAACACAAGTTTTATTTGGATCATTTTCATTACAAAAAGAAATTTACTGAATAGCGCCTGTGGGAATGATATACAGTAGACCCTCGATATACTGCAGATTCAGATACATCATCATGGAGATTATATCCCCCAATACGATTACATACCATAAATGTCAATTTCACACATATGGGCAGCTTATAATGCAGATATGGAAGGTGACCCCTGCAACCCACATATGAAGTGTCCATAGAATTTGTTTTTTGATATAGCCATGATCAATTTGGAACAGTAAGATATTATAAATGTATAAAATGCATGAAATTCTGCATATTATTTTTTGTGCTGAAAAAATGAAAATATGCTAACTTCATATAGTTCTAGATGAAGATTATCCTTAAAAAGCTTCAGTTCTTGCCTACGATGTATATTTCATGTAAGTTAAGGTACAGCTATCCCTGTAGCATGCCATGAAGGCTCATAGGGTTGTGAGATGTTGAGGTTCCCACATTTTGTCTAGACATTTGGCTCACAGATGGTGGTAAGGTTGTCAACCTTACGTGCCAGCTGCCCTTTACCTCCCAGGAAGATTCCTGATACTCATTTCTATTAGGGGCTGAGGTGATCCCAGGGGCATGGTGTGGCTGGAGGGATGAGGTAAATTGAAAATATCCACCTCATCAGGACTTGAACTCATGACCTTCTGGCTTGTAGCATAATGTTTCAACCAACTATGCTGCTGTGTACCTTCATGTAAGGCTATGCAAAATGGTTGTGCTCCTGAACATTCCTTCAGTTAGTGATAATCAGGTGTTTTCTAACATATCTACCTCTATCTGCAGATTCAGATGATGGTGACAGTATACCAGACTTGCATGAACGTTTGAGAAATGTGGATCTAGATGATGCTGATTCGATTTGGGAAAAACTGACACTGGCAGAAAGACAGGAATTTGAAAATCTCCTACAAAGTGGAGATGCCAGTCAGCTTGTAGCTCTGTGGGAACCATGGTGGCTTTACAGGTTAAATATTAAACATTCATAACATTCTAAAGCTTGCCAACATTGTAATCACAAAACTGAAAATAACTACTAAAATTAACAGACTGTACTTCCAGATTTACATACCAACTAATATAATGATTACATAATATGGTGCAGTGGTATGGACATAAGAAGACTAGGACAGGGAATAAATATGGCCAGAATAACTGACTCAGTGGATATCAACTTGAAAATATTCACAATGGTTAAAGAAATTCTCAAAATAGTGACAGAAGGAATGAATTTGAAGATGGGGGAGCAAAATAATTGACAAATATGAGGTACAAGAATGGGGAAAATGTGCAGATGGGAAAATCCAAAGGATGACAATGATCATGACAACAAATATTAAGTTCCTTTATTTGCATGCTTGCAAACAACAGGTGAGCACTATAAATGTATAAAAAAGAGAATTAAATACTAAAAGTAAAACAAAATAACATATTAATATGTTAACACAAACTATAAACTAAATACAGTTGAAAATGGAAAAGGTACTCTCAAGGGAAACAGCGAGTTTATTAAAAATGTCCAGAAATTTTCAGATGCTGTTTGCAGCTGTGATGCACCTTGATGAAGGACTAAGTCTTGAAACATTATTCACATTAAAAATAGACGAGTTCTTAATCTGCTTACTAGGTCCATGGAAACCATGAGCAATAAAGCAAGGGTTTTCCTTCTGGCATATAATACCATGTAGTTCTGGAGGATCACATCCCCTCTATCTTTAGGGTTGCAGAATAAGCCAAGCCAAAAACCAGCATGAAGCAGGCAGCAAACGATTGACTTTCAACAGACTGCACAGTGTTGTATGCCAGAAGACAGAACTCTTCATAACCACCGCTGTAAGAAACTCAAATGCTACAAAAAGTAAAGCATTATGGAATAAACTATTCTGAAGTTTAAATGATTGAAAATTAAATAGTAATTATGAGGAAAATCTGACTGAATAAATTGAATTTAGCATAAATGTAAAATACTTTCTCGGTATATTTTCCAGTTCATTAAAATCTGCCACAGTAAGGTCATTCCAGGTGACAGATGTATATACTTAAGCTTTGACCAAACAACAATACAATTTTCATTTTTAAAGATCACTTTCCCTTAACTTCAAAACAGAAAGTAACTTATTCAGTTCCACATTTCTGAGTCCCCTGGAATGTACATTTGGTCAGTAGTGCTAAATTGAATTAATTTTTAAAACATGATTGTTGCTATTATGAAATATAGCTTGCATTCTTGGATGATGTACAATATATCCATGCAGGCATATGACAGAATATTAATACAAAACCAGAACTGGCTGTATACTAAATTAAATGGTAGCAAAGTTATGAATTATGTATGCAACTATACAGAATCCTAATAGCCTATTTCATATATATTCTTTTGTTCCAGGAAACAGAAGATTCTGGTTCAGGATTTGAAGATGGAACAAGATACTTTACATCCTGCTTATGAAGCAAATTGCCCAACAGTAAATAAGAATGTGCCTCCTTTTTTTAAAATTTCGGTAAATTTTTAACTAAATGGATTTTAATAAAACATATTGAATATCCAATTCTTAATTCAGTTTGTGATTATATTAAGTAGAATATAGTTCCTTCTGGTTCCATGGGATGAACACTTGGTTTTATATGATTTTAACCTTAACACTTATCTTGTTGTGAGGTTATAGGGTGCACTTTGTAAATTCCTGTTTACATACCCAAGACTGTTACTTTACTGCTGACCATTCACGCTATTGGAACTGTGGCACATATTACTTTAAATGTCCAAATTGCATCACAGTAACATAATATAGTGTAGGTATAACTCACATAACATCCAGAATTCTGCACGGTGTCATGCATGCTCTCAGATGTAGACCTCTCTCCTAATCACTATAAAGGTCATATCTCACAACAGTAAGTCTTCGTACACATGTTTCATTCCAGGACTTTTCAGGCCTATAGAAAGGAGCTAATAGAGAGAGAGGGCAATTGTGAATATGCCAGTTCATAGCTGCAATAGCCACTGAATTTACACATAATTTCAAGTCTCCAAAATACAAACTGAAATTGTGGCTGTCGTGAATAATCGTTGAATTAGTGATCAATCAGTTAAATTGTGATAGCTGTATGAACATTTTCTGCATATTTCATTTCAGGTTTCTTTTGTTCTTACACAGGCTTGTGTTGCCTAATTGGCAAGTGGCTTGAATCAACATTTACTAGTTTAGACAATATGATTTTTTTTACTTATTTACTAACAAATTATTGAGTAGTTTTCATAAAATATTGTTCTAGTTACAAGTTATTTTTTTATTAATTAGTTTATTAATGATAAATTGTTAGTAAACTGAGGTTTTCATTGGTACTGTTAATCAATGCAGATCACATAAGAGTGGTGCAGTCTTCACCGGAAATCAGAAGGGAGATGAAGCGACATCCAAGGGCTGTGCCATAGCTTAAGCGGTTAGTCGCTGGCTTCCCACCGCGGCGGCCCAGGTTCGATCCCGGGTCTGGTCAAGTGGGATTTGTGATGGACAAAGTGGCGGTGGGGCAGGTTTTCTTTGAGTATTTTGGTTTCCCCTGCCAATCATCCTCACCTATCACCTAGGGCTGGTACAATAGGCCAGAAGTGGCCGCAGTACAAGGGACTTAGTTCCATCCCACTAGCAATAAAAAAAAAGGTGACATCCACCAGCAATATTTTGTAGAAATCTGAAGACAAATAAGAGGCAATATGATAAAATGTAAATGGATCAGAGCACATACTAGAGTTTTTTGGCGCAAACGTCTTTGATAATTGGACACCCTTGTAAAACATATATTAACTCTTTCTTTGTTGGGTATTTATGTGGTGCAGCAACCTTCTGAAGTCTGATACATTCAAAACATTAACAAGACTGGAAAGAGTGTATTCCATAATGTAGCACACAACTCCCAACAGTATTTTTTGCAGTCAATTTATATGTGACTGGAGAAAAACAAAACACAGACAAAATGAGCAGACTTCATATTTCAACAGCATATTAATACACAGTACTGAATTACAACAAAATCTGTGAAATTGGTATGGGATACCTGGAAAAGTCCATTTATGGCTAGCAAGGCGAAAAATCAACACTGGCAGCTAATCTCATGTAATTTCACCAAAATGGTATTAATGGTTTGATACACCCAAAAAATATTCATTTATGACCTTATGTGAAGTAGGCTTTGTTATGGATCAGTATGGATAAAATTAGCAACTGGCTGACAGCTTCCATGAATGTCTCCATTGTCAAATAAAAAAAAAACTATCCCAACAGCTTATGTAGTGATGCTAGGTAATATGCATATGCATAGGCATGACCTTCATATAAGGCATTCTTTTCTTTGCTCTGTAATGAAACCTAAAATTGGATTGCTAATGCTGTCACTGTTAGTAAAATTCCCCACTTCTTCCATTACCTATGCTATGCATCTACTTCAGAGTTGAGGAGGCAGCCATGTTTTCCCAGATGTTCATGCCAGCAGCAATGCCGTTAACTAACTCCATGGAGCTTATTGAGAAGCTGCCAGCCACTCAGGCAATTCCCAACATTTTATGGAACCCAAAAGTTTATTACCATGTTTGCAGGAGCCCTCCATCAGTCCCTATCCTGTACCAGATTATTCCAGTCCATATTACTCCATCCTACTTCTCTAAGATAATTAGAAATGCCACAGCAATCTAGTCATGATCTGTTGGTATTTCCTCAGAAGTAGTTGTAATGATTAATCAAGAAATGCTGTGACATATCGGAATTCCTAGCAAAAGCAGATATTTGCATTATGAATTTGAAAAGCTTAGCATAGTTACAAAATAAATTAGTGACTAATATATTATTTTTTCACTGAATTCTGATCTATAAACTTATGCATAAGTATCAGTAATTTAAATATTTGATAGTGGTTATTTCTCACCACAGAAAACTCCTCCAGCACCCTGTGTGAAGTACAACATTCTGAATGTGTTAGGTGCTTACTGTTACACAGTGCGGTTCTTAAACGGTGAACATCATAATATGCCTGCAGAAGCTTGCAGCATTCTTGTGAACCTCTCTGCAAACCTCAGCCTCAACCACACCTATAACTCGGCTGTGATAGCGGTTGAAGCTGTGGCACATGAAGCAATTAATGTGAGTGAATTGCCACTTGTTTTCAGATAATTTGGTAATCACAAAATGTTATGAATTTTTGGGTTGCCACAAATAAACCAAGTAATACTTTATTGGGCATTTTATTTTTTCACAATCAATTAAAATACACGTTTTACATTGTAGTTGAAAAAGTATGATATCTGTGTTCTTTCTCAATTCAGAATGTTCAGTGGTATGATGATTCAGCTTTCAAGTGACTGATACAGTCCCCATTCCTTCTTGTGTGTTCTCTTTTTGCCATTCAGTTTTTTTTTCTACATTGAAGGACTTCATACAGAATGTAAATTAGGCTGATGGCAACTATTTCATAAAACTGTATGTAGCTTGGGTGAGGGATGAAAGAAATGCATACAGAATGCAGGCTAGGAAGCTTCTTGGAAAGCAGTCACTTGAAAGTCCAAGTAGGAAGTAGGATGGAACATGTTCAGGTTCATATCCAGTAGGATGCTCTGGTGGTGTTGAAACTCTGCTTTGTATTACTAAAGTTATTTTTTTGTCTTCTATATACCAGAGGATGGATAGAGTCCAAAATAAGCCTAATAGTTCTGTAAAATTATTTATATTTGAAAACATAAATTAATTGGAAATTTATGTACATGCAAGTGGTTAGAACTGCATTCAAAATAAAGTAGTATTGCTGTGATAAAATGAACATGGAGACTGATGAGAGTAAAAAGTAAAGTAAAAGTATAGCTATCCCTGTACCAGGGCATGGAGGCCCATAGGGTTGTGAGATGTTGAGGTTCCCACATTTTCTATACAGTGAGCTCATAGATGGCAGTAAAGCTGTCAGCCATATGCACCAGCTGGCCCTTTACTCCCAGGAACATTCCAAGAATATTCCTGGTACTTATTTCTGTTAGAGGCTGAGTTGACCCCATGGCCATAATGCGACTGGGAGGATTAGGTAAATTGAAAAAAATCCAATGACCTCATCGGGATTTGATCCCACGACCAACTGGCTGGTAGCATAGTGCCTCAACCCACTATGCTACCGCATGCCCCAACCGATGAGAATTATAAAGGAAATTCTCTTCCCTACCACATCGTACACTGGAGGTGATGTGTTCTTATGCTTGTAGCACATTATTTTAATTATCACAGTTGCATTCTGTGTCATCATAAAAGTATAAATACCACTGAACATTCGTGAATGGAAACCTGCCACAACATACGTAAAGTGGCACATATTTATGAAATGGTAAAGTCTGAAATTCATCTCACCTGCTTGTATATATGTGATACACACAATAAACACTTTTTTTTCTGCTTCAGTGTACATGGATGGGGGCATCACATCATTGTGTCATCTGCATGAAGAATGATATTGAGTGTATTTTGGCTGGACCAGAAGACAGCAACTACAGTTTCTATTTACAGGCATCTCTTTCAGATATTTACCAATTACTGTCAGAAGCCAGACATTCTAAAAACACAGGTGATTAAGAATTTAGTGATAGGTAGAAGAATCAGTTGGACTGTATGGTTTTTAAGCATAAGAACTGACACAACAATAATCTTGGAATCTGTAATTCATATTATCCACTTTTTTACTTGATAATTATAAAATTTAGCTTATTTGAAAATTAGTGATTTGTACGTACAGTGACACATCTGTAATTTCTATAATAAGGGCAAAAGGACATTCCATAGGTATGATGCATTTTAGAATGCCAAAGGATTGATATAGCATGGGTTATAACAGCAATACTGCTTATACCTGATGCATGACAACAAACAACCCTCAGCCATAAGTTGCATGAGCCTTTTCTTGCCTCAAGAGTTTAGGTTCAGGATGTGCATAGCATAATTGTCCCTCACAATAGATGTGTCAGTAACATCAACGTGAGATGTATCATGCTTCACTGGGGTCCAATCAAGCCATACACTGTGATGCCTCTCAAAGAGGTTGACAAACCCTGTAATGGTGTTTGATGTCCTCTCTGCAGTGAAGTTCCGATCATTTTCAATTTAATAATGATGGTTTCTCTCCAGGCTGTTTCCTGGCCCTCCCGTTATAATAATATGATCTTGCTTGGTAATGCCTTTATCAAGCTTCCTTATTTCCTCAACAACCTTTGCTTCAAAATACTATGTATTTCAAATTTAGTTTTTTCTTGAAGCATGGGGTCAATTTCCCTATCATGACTGCTTCCCAGTAATAAAATCTTTCTTTTATTTTTCTGTCTTCACTTTGAATGATTCTAGTTTCCTGCCTTTATGCTTCAACAGAACTGTGGTTTGCTGACCAACTTCCAATGCATCTTTTGCAGAGAACCTACAGGCCTGGGAGTTTGAATTTTTTTTTGTTTTTTTCTGTTTCCTCAATTATCCTACTTCATGAAGTTACTGCTGACATTTCCTGCTTTCAGCTTACAATTTTGTCCCTAGCTGCCTGATTCTCCCCATCTGTTCATTCACATGCTTCTGGTAATTACATGGGATACATACAGTACAATGGCATGCTCCTGTTTGGTGCACTGGGGCTGGTGCTTGCCCAGTTTAAGTGAAAGCAGTAGCCACAGTCTGTACAAATCAGGCCCTTGGTGACCCACCTACAAGAAGCTCCACATTTACTAAAAAAGATGATTAGTACTATACATAATTTTAGCTATGAATATTAAAAATATATTTCTCATTTGCTAAATGCTGTTAATTCGACTTCAAAACCACAATTAGAACAAATTATTTTAGGGTCACTCACTGTATAGATTTGACTGTCAGTAGTTAAAGTTGGTCTCCGTTCCTATGCACTTCATTTGTATATCAGCCAAATGAGTGACAGTAAACAAATTACTTAACTAATAATTCCATTAGTTACATTCTAGTTCTGTAAAAACCACTTCTGTGAACCACTTTACTCAGAATCACTTTTTGATGAACTTCACTGTGAAATCAGTAATACACTTAAGATTCCAGTAATTTACAATCCAGATTCATTAAACATCAATACACACAAATACTTAGGTCGTTCCGAAAGTCATGAGCAACTTTTTTTTGCGTGCAGATGAAAGAGAGTACAGTGGTAGGTGGAACCAGCTGTTGTGTTAACCTTGAGTGTCTTGTGACGTCAATAGCTTGCATCACGTAACCAGTATCACTCCTAACAAAATGGCCAATGATATGTCGTTTCGCCAGCGTGCTGTCATTGAATTTCTTGTGAAAGAGGAAATCCTTGCTGCAGAAATTCACCAGACTTCAGCGTGCTTATGGAAGTGTGTGCATGGGTGCGAGCAGTGTTCGAAGATGGGTGAAACATTTTAAAGATGGGAACACCAGCATCGAAGATGAGCCTTGGAGCGGTCGTCCTCGAACAGCCTCAACTGAACGCAGCAAGGAAAGAGTGGATGAAAGCATTCAAGATGACAGGCGTGTGACTGTTGACACAATAGCCTGAAAATTTGGAATAGAGCACAGTGCAGTACAGGAGATGATTGAAAGGTTGTGCTATAGGAAAGTTTGTGCTCGTTGGGTCCTCCGGTTATTGACCGAAGACCACAAAGGTCAGCGAAAAGCCATTACCTCAGAACTGCAGCAGAGATATCGACACAAAGGCGATGATTTTTTGCTCTGTATTGTGACAGGTGACGAAAGGTGGTTTCACCATTTCGAGCCTGAAACAAAATGGCACCATTTGCATTCTCCATCAAAAAAGAAGGCAAAGACAGTGCCATCAGCTGCAAAGGTGATGGGCACCGTCTTTTTGGATGCAGAGGTGTTTATTCTGGCCGAATTCCTGGAACCTGGGCAAACCATCAACGCTGCTCATTATGTCCAGACACTGCACAAGCTCCATTGTGCACATTACATGATAAAGTCTGGGACAAAACATCATCATCCTGCATGACAACGCTTGCCTCACATTGGAAGCAATTGCAAAGATGGAGTGGGAAGTTCTGCCACACCCCTCCTATAGCCCTGATCTGGCACCCTCCAACTACCATCTTTTTGGATTTGTGAAGGATCAGCTGCATGGACAACGTTTTGAGACAAGGAAGGCAATTCAGAAAGCAGTGCGTCAGTATCTTCAGATGGCTGGAACGGAATTTTACAGAAGGGGAATTTTCAAACTCCCAGAACACTGGGAGAAATGTGTACAAAGAAGTGGCGATTATGTGAAAAAATAAAGAAAGGTCTGTAGATTGAGGTGGTGTTTTTGGTTTATCAATAATAAAGCATGTTACTTTACAAAAAATTGTTGCTCATGACTTTCAGTATGACCCTCGTACAAATAAACAACCTAGAATACTGTGTATTACAACACAACACAATAACTTTTATGAAAACAGGCACAACAATACTGCAATTTCAGGGTCTGTAAGTGTAACATGTAGGTCAAATATAGCAGACCATAGACATTTACTGAGTTAGATTACAGTTTTACACATGTAGGTTACATACAGTACATAAACAATCTAAATAAATATAACTTTGCAAATTATTAAGTAAATACTTCCATATCTTTCCCAAGACAACTTACTAATGCTGTACTTTGCTTTGGTCAGATCAAAGTTTGAATATGCATCTGTTGCGTGAACTCTCTTATAGTTACTAATAAATTTGAGCACTTACAAAGTATGTAGCCTTCTGCTGCAACATATTTCTTCAGCATATTCAATATCATTAAGTAAATTTATTAGAAAGATTAAATCTTCAGACACTGCATACCAGGCACTGCTGTAAAGATGTTTTGTTTTTAATGAATATCTATAATGGCCCTAAATCTTGTTCTTCTGTACTATAAGCATTTGGAATTTAGATTCATGTTCAGAACATATGTTACTTTTCCATGTTTAGTTGCTTCTCCAGTTATAGTGTTTCAGCTGGATGTACATCTGCTGCTATTTGTATATTCACAGGTTTTTATTCATGCTGACTTGGTAATACGTATTTGCAGTTGAGTTAGTGCATAAATATGTAAATAACTTGAATCATTACTGTAATTATTATTATTGTTGTTGCTGTTGCAGATCCTAATGGTGTAAAGAAGAGCGGAGAATTTACCAAGAGATTTAGTGACAATTTGTCAACTTCACTTGTTCAGAAAGACAAATTACGGCTCATCATTAAAAAACTGGAATACTACCTGTCATGGTCTCAAGATCATGCTAGTGAAATCTGTTGTCAAAAACTTCAAGTGGAATTGAATTTCTAAGAGGATGTCTTTTGCAACTGCAAATATTATATCAAAGAAGACTAACAGTAATAGTATTTATACTTTATAAAATGGTCTTATGATTCTGAGTGTAATTTTCCAGTAGCTGAAATGGAAAGTGTGTGTATGCTTAGTGGTTTATTTTACAACATTGTCAGTATCTAAGAAAGTATAGCATCGAATGTTGAATAATTATGAAAATTGCAGTCAGGATATCAGGTGTTACTGCCTTACTGACCTGCCTACTTTCATTTTTTATGGTGAGTTATTTAACAAAAATTGCAGTACTGAGACTCTATAACATCTTATGGTAGGATGATAGATGAATGATAAATTGGAAGTGGCCATAGTCTGATTGAGGTTCAATCCTACTACTTGTCTGCAAGCATTGAGCAAAACTGCTAAAAGCCTTAGTTAGGCTAGCCAGTCTTCTCTGAGCACCTAGTAGATACAAGTCTAGAGCATTACCCCTAGGCCAACCTCTTCTGTGCTTGGATTCATATACAATATACTGCTGACTGTCTGCACTAATAAGAGGGAAAAGACGCATGGATAATTGAAAACACAAATTTTTCAGGTTTGCGTGTGACTTGGAGACTGGCGACTGCTGAATATAGAAATTCAGAGATGTATGCACAGCATGTGATTTGTTCAGTTATCTCAAAAGATATACAACTTATGGAAAAAAAAAGCACCAAAAATGGAAATGTGTTTCATTCTTATATTTTAGCGTCCTGTTACACTGATTCATGTCCATGGTTTATGCTGACCGTCTTACAGTGTATACACTTTTTCACCTTATTCTTCACTTCCACACTACATGTTTCAGCACTAATGTGCCATCTTCAGGTGTCTTTATGCATGTCAGTGCTGAAACATGTAGTGTGGAAGTGAAGATTAAGGTGAAAAAGTGTATACACTGTAAGACGGTCAGCATAAACCATGGACATGTGTTTCATTCTTTTGTACAACATTTGTTTGAAACACTTCTGATTGTATAATTAATAGGTGACTCAGAAGAACCACATTAGCTGGGTCCTTTGTCACCATGTATGGCACGTCCTCAGGTTGCGGATTGAGGAGACGTACACTGGCTAGCAGAAGCAACTAAACAAGCATCTCCAGAAAGAGTCCAGTTGTGTTCTTACAAAGTCAGATTTTCTCTGAGTGTAAAATAAACTAATGAAGACACTATCCAGGATCTTCAAGTATCACCTAATCAGACCATGTCTGAAACAGTTAAGCAAAGAGATAGACGAAAAAAGATAATAAAGAATAAGAGAAGAACCTCAAAATGCAACCTCAAACCTTATCTTCATGCTCTACGAAAACCATTAGGGATCTCCAGAAATTGTCATTAAACTTAATTCTGAATTATCTGATATAATGCCCAGTGTATGAGTACCGATTCAGTGCCATGCCTCTGCATCAACAAATTACCTACAGAACACTTACTGCACTACTTGAGAAATTAAACGATAATGTAGTTCAAAATGTGTCATTGATTTATACATTAATTAATTTTAATTTATTCTGTTGATCCATACTTGTACAACCATTGGATATAGAAAAGTCAAATATACAAGACAGTACAATATCAGTAAATAATGATAAATAAGACATGCAATCATTAAGAGATGTTGTTGAAAATATAAACATAATATAACACTGTAAATACTGATACAATGATGTTGCTGTTACCATCAGAAATATATCTAGTTTTATGCATAAAAAATTCATAGAACAGAACACTGTAAATACTGACACGATGTTAGTATTACAATAAAAAACACTCATCTAGTTTTATGCATAAAAATTCTCCCACAGTATAAAAAGAATGCTCATGCAAATACTTCTTTAAAGCTTTTAATATCACATGCCAAGTCCTTAATGTCAGCTGGAAGATGGTTATCTACCTTAACACCAGCATAGGCGGAACTTTTATGAAACAGTCAAGTGAGTCATTACTTGGAAAAATAGAATTATTCCTGGTATTAAAATTATGAATTTCAGAATTTTGTCTAAACAATGATTTATTGGTAACCATAAACAGAGCCAAGAAGAGTATGTATGGAGATGGTAGAGGTAGTATATTTAACTGGGTCTTGCTTCCATTAGTATTCTAACCATTCGCTTCTGGAGCTTGAAAATATTCGTACTGTGGGAAGAAGTTCCCCAGAAAATTAATCTTTATAACTGAATGAAAATAAGCATGATTGATTATCTTTAGGGAATGTAAAGATAAGAAAGGTCTGATTGCTCTTGCAATATAACAAGCTTTTCAATAATTTTCATTTCGTGCATCCTGCTGTGTTACAGTATACAACTTTATTGAACCGTCGCAACACAACAGAAAAAATCGAGTTCAGCGCTCAGCTATAGTTTCGCTACACGTTTCAGCCACTAAAGGCGATCATCAGGCAAACAGATATTAACAAACATATACCATTGATGTTATATTTTAGTGTTCTGTTGCACTGATTTAAGTCCATGATTTATTTAATCCGTCTTGCAGTGCATACATTCATTTATCTCCTTCTCTCCCTCGCACTACATGTTTCGGCATAATAATGCCATCTTCAGGTGCTTACTTGTCCACGTCAAACCAGTTCATTGCATGCCATGTTCACACATTAAAATAACTAAAATATGTATGTATCATATACATTGTCAAACGTTAAAAATATTAAAATTGTTCAGGATACCACATCGCTACGTCGCCCCTCACTACGTCA